GCTCCACTCCCACCGCGTTGCCTGTTGAGGTCCGAGCTGCCGCATTCCTTAATTTGCTCGTAATTAAAGTCTGTTCTAGCTCTGCGTTCGATCCCATGTCACGTAGGTTTCCAGATGCTTCTGCTTTGTGTCGGGCTCCAGCAGTTCGATGTTAGGGGGAAAAAACCTCCTGGACAACTAACTTGCTTCATTTAAACTGCAGCCATCACACATTTCTGAGCACTCACCTTTTCTGGAACTTAATTGTAGGGCTTTAGCAGTCCCTCCCTAGGTAATGGTCACCTATAGATAATAATTGGTATCCCAGATGAGCAGGCCTTGATTGACATGGGTTTAAACTAAAACAGGGGAGGTTTAGATTGGATATGAGGAAGAAGTTCTTCACAGTGAGGGTGGTGAGGCACTGGAATGGGTTGCCCAAGAAGGTTGTGAATGCTCCATCCCTGGCAGTGTTCAAGGCCAGGTTGGACAGAGCCTCGGGTGACATAGTTTAGTGTGTGGTGTCCCTGCTCATGGCAAGGGGGTTGGAACTAGATGATCTTAAGGTCGTTTCCAACCCTAACTATTCTATGATTCTATGACATGGTGGAGTAGTTTATTGTAGTAGGAGAATCTGATTATTGTAGAGGTAGGGTGGGATATAATATGGGGGTTGAACTAAATGGCTGATAAAGAAATAAACCCGTTATTATAATTGGAAAACTTTCTTTTGTGTCTGGAAGTAAAGCAGTGGGCCTAATTCTCCTTTTGCTAATACCTGTCTTGTCTGGAATTGACTTAAAATTAATTGCTCTGCTAGGCTGAGATAGCAATACATTGCAACCCCTTCATTCTGTCTTTCCATCCACTTGAATGTAGGCAGCCCTCCAGGAGTTGCAGAGCTTAGGTCTGCTCAGGCCTTGTCTCTGTCCATTTAACTGAAATGGAATTAACTGTTTTGATTAGCTAAAGGTATAATTTTAAGCTTTCTTAAACTTAGTTTGAATCATTTTAGCTCTCTTTGGCAATTTATTGAATGAACAAAAGTAGAGATAGCAAATCTTCTTAGCTAGAATACTATGAACTTGCTTATAGAGACATGGCCTTGGAAAGATGGTAGGTACTGATGGCGCCACATTTGTCATTTTGTTGTTGTTCGAATGTCAGGAATCCCTTTGGCTTCAGTTTTGAAAAGTTTGGTTAATGGTTTGACTAGGTGCCCTTGAAGACACAGAACATTTTGTCATTGATACGGCTAAGAAAGTAGATCCTAAATCTGCTTAAAATTTTAAGTGAGGAATTTGGTACGTACCTGTTAAAATGCTATCTGTTGGCACTGTTGGGCACCTCGCATTTGGTCTCTATTCATTGTCTCCAGGAATTTGAAGGTTTATTCTACAGGATATTTTCTATCTTCTGACTTTTTTACAGCAATTATTCAAAGTTAAGTGACAACAGTAAATTTTGTGTGAGGTGATAAAGTTGAGTTTAAAAGGAGATTGTCAAGGGAAGTATGTGTACAATGGTAAAGGAGAAGAATTGGATCCTTTGTGGTAAGAGAGGATGTCTGGAACATGGCTGATGTTCACACAATAGAAGGTACATCAGACTGTGCTAGTAGACATCTGGTGGCCAGGGTTTTAAGGATCTGTGTTAGGGTAAGAAAATGGATTTATAGGACCACAGGATAATTCATGTGAGAAGGGATTTCAAGACATGTAAAGGAGGGTCAGCTATGAGGCCAGACCAAGTTGTTCAAGGCTTTATCTAGTCAAAACTTGAAAACTGCAAAGGCATAGCCTCTCTGGGAAACCTGTCCCATGGCTTGATTGTCTTAATGATAAAAAAAGTCTTTTCATGTATCTAGTCAAAACCTCCTGCTTCAGACACCATAAGAAGCGTGTTTCTGTGGTTGGAAATGCTTTTTGCCATGTAGGACCTGCTATCACAAGGGCACTGAGTGCTTCCGATTTCTAGGACATCAATAGAAGCAGCGTGTCCTTTGTGAAAGGTAGGCTTCTGGTGATAGCAGTCAGCCTTGACCTTTTGATCTAAAAGGGGTATAAACTCAGCTCTGTTTTTAAAGAGTAGTGAACAGCAGTGATAGGAAGGGAGATGCATCAGTCAGTCTTCCAGCTAGCTTGGAAGTTGTGTAGAAGTATGGCTTTTGTGTATTTACCTGCCTTGGGGTAAGCATAGGGCAGGCTACAGTCTAAGCTAAAAAGTTCTGTGATAGTATGGGATATTTGTACCATTCTGTTGTGACTTCACTGTAGATGTACTTCTTAAAAGCTAATAAAATATTACAGCATCAGTACAGAATGAACTTTAAAAGGTGCTTCTGTTCTTTCTACCATTTAAAAAAAGCAATTTGCAAACTTCAAAAACTAATCAATGTTCCAAATCATTACTGTGGTGCTTAAAAATGAGGTTCTAGTGTAGAAGATTAATCCTGTGTGCTTTTTGTTTTTTCTTCATTTTTAGGGGTTGGAAAGACTACTTTGATCCAGAAAGTCACTCAAGCTCTAAAATCCTCAGGCACTTCCATAGATGGATTTTACACAGAGGAAGTTAGAGAAGGTGGCAGGAGAACAGGATTCGATGTTGTCACTTTGTCTGGGAAACGAGGACCGTTATCTAGAGTCAGGTACTGAGGTTTTAATAACTGCAAGTGGCTATTGTTTTATGCTTCTGCTCCAGCCTGTCAGCATGTTGAATGCTCCTCCAGAAGGTGATTTCCAGCACACATTGCTTTCATGGTCAGGTTCTTCATTCAGTTCTTGTATCAGCCAGGTCACCTGTATTGTGTATGTAGACAGTGTTTCTACTGCATAATGAAATACTGAAGATGTACTAGGGAAGGGTGTTCTTTCTTACTGCTTATTTTACACCAGGTAGAGAGGAAGCACTGCCAAGTCTTAATGTGAGGCCAAGGCTCTTTGGTTTACATTAAATAGCTTTTTATAGGCAGGGAGGAAGATACTTTTTGTTTCCACAAGCTGATTTATAGAGACAGAAGTAGAAAATAAAAGAGAAATTGCATACAACATTGTTTTACAGAGCCACTGACTGTCCCACCAAACCCATATGTGAATTTTAGGAAAAAAAGAGGGCTTCAGACCCCCACTAACAGTCGGGGCCTCCTGAAGTGCAGAGGGGCTCACAATCTCTCCTGGTTGACTTAGCCTTTTTTGCTTTGTGCAAAACTTGGTCTAGGTTCAGGTGTGCTACTAGCACCTCCTTCAGACATAGGTGATCTTCCTAAATAATTTGCATACTGCTAATAAAAGAAGTTTGCATAAGAGAGTGTGATGCGGCACATGCAAACTGAGTGTTTTTCTGAGATTAAGGGTTTTGCAGCCTATACTGGGATTTGGGCTACTGCTGTGCTGCTGTCTGTAGCGTCACCAAATTCAAAGATCTGAACTACAGGCATTTATTTTGATTTCACTGTAAATATACCTGCTAGCTTTTAGATCCCATTGTCCTTCCTTTCACTGTTCAGATTTGAGCTTACATATTTGTGAAGGTAGCTTATGGTGTATTTATTACCTGAAAGTGTGCTATCTGCAATGTGATTTAATGGATGATTTACAGAGTTTCTTTGCTTTTCTTAGAAGAATTAAGGGGATTTGATTTATTAGGATAACTTCTCATAAATCCACTTGAAATGACTGCAGTGAATTTTCACTAAACTCATTACTTACAAGGAATTATGTGTCTCTTTTTTTCAAATTCAGTTCTGATTCTTCTACTTCAAGACGTGAATGTCGGGTTGGACAGTATGTTGTAGACGTTGTTTCATTTGAGCAGTTGGTTCTACCTATGCTGAGAAATGTGAGTATTCTATCAAAGCTGCTGAAAAATCGATGCTTTATGGTAATCAGTGTTATTGGAAGGCCCTTCTAGAGCTCTAGTTTTGGGTATTAATAAATGGCCTGTTGGATATCGCTGATCCTGATTGACATCAGGAAGCTGGAGGGGCAAATCTGACTTATTCTTTTGTGCTTCATATGGTGTTTGGAGAGATTACAGTCCCCAGTTATTCCCGATCTGACATCACCCTGTGAGCAGGACCTCCTCAGCCTGAGGGATAGCCGATAGGAATTTTCTTCCAATGCCTCTGTCTTGCATATTGGAAAGCAAGCAAAATGCATGAGTGGCTTACTGCACAGAACTGGGTAGAGTTGGTGGGTCCAACAAAAAAAGGCTTTTGCTGCTGCGCTTTTTCTTTATAGCCCTTTTTGTCCCCTCTTGTTCCAGTTCCCATCTTCTTCCAGTAGAAATATTTGTTCCTTGAATCCAGTGGTTACTTTTGATTACCACTGTGTAAGTACCTGCAGACTGGTAGGTTTTAACTGATAATAGCAGCCTGATAGTGCTCTGACTGTGACAAAACTTTCTACACAATCTTTTTAGTATCTTTCTCCTGACATTTTGTTATGGCCTTTTGCCTTCTTCTTCTTCTCTCTCACTCCAGCCTTTGCCCTCTCCAAAATTAAACAAGAACAGATCTGTTTTTGGCATATCACAAACAGTGTGCAGCAGCTGCTGAACTGTACTACTAAGAAGATCCTATTGTGATTTTTCTACCCTGCCAAAGCTCAAGGGGCCAAGGAAGAAGAGACTTTTTATTTGAACTTTGAAAGACAAAAAAGCACCCAAAAACAGAGGTGCAAGGAGCAAAAATGAGATTAAGGCTCTGATACTTGTTTTTGTCAAGAAACATTAAAGTCTGAGAGTAGGGAAGCAGAAACATTGGGGGTAGGGAAGAAAGGAAATATGAATAAAATGGGGCATTTTCATATGTTTATTTTCACTGTAACTTGATTTACTATGTTAGTAAATAGAAAGACAGTTTAATAAAACAGACTTTATTAAGCCAGCACTGTACTCAGAATCCTTTTACTGCTTGCCTTTATGTGAAGTCCAGGAGAGATCTTGCTAGAAGGGTGTTAGCACTGTTGAGTTTTTCTGGTTGTTACGTGGCTTTGTCATTGGAAGTGCTGTTAATCAGTTTTGTGGGAATGTGGTCATGCATGTAGGTGACACAAAATGGAAGATGAGGAAAGTGAGGAAGATCATAGCACTGAAAAAAGAAGTGGCAAATGAAGAATGAGGGCAGGAGAGTTATAGGTATGGTCTAGTTTGATCAGAGAGCAGCACAGAGTGGGTATGTGCCCATTTAGTCTTCAGGACAGATTCAGCTCTTAAGGCTTGTATCTCATTCAGTGCACTGAGAACAGGGGTAGATCCTGCAGTGGATGATCTCTCAGATCTGGAAACTTTACCAGGCAGGACTGAGGATGTTTTTTTTCAAAGCAAAATACTCTGTTTCTCTAATGTGTGACCTAGTGACTAGTATTGGCTTTTAGCTCACTGATCTATAAAAGGATTTTAGATAAAACAGCTGCTCAGCAGAGACTTAACTTGAAAAGATTTTAGGATGCATGTTGTACAGTTCTTCCACTTTCCCAGAAGCAAATACTTTGCCTTCGCAGGGAAAAATACTTCGATTTCTTTTTTTTCTTTCTTTTTTAGGTTCTGTATGATATGGGTGGTATTGGTATATATTCATGAATCCACAGTGGTATTTTGACTTGAGCTGATTTCCTCCTCACTTCTCTAAGTGATGGAGTACAGTTCAAGGTTACTTTTACCAAGAGGCAGTGCACTTCCTTTTTTGCTTTCCAAATTGCCTTTTCTTCAGTGGTAGTCACCTAAGTTGTCTCCTTGACTTCTCTGCTGCTCACACCACTCTGCAGCATGATGCTGTTTGGCACAGTATTCACTTCATGAAAAAAGCAAACAAACCACAAATACGGTCAATTGTTAATATGGTGCCTATCCTGCAGTCCAGGGGGATGGCTGGGACTATAGAATAAGCCATATCTTGCCAAAGAAATGGAAGATGACTGTTCTGATGTGAGGGAGGCTTGGAAATGGCTTGGTTCTTATCCAGATAGCTTAGAAGAAGGCTAATTGTTTTGAGAGAAATGCTAGTTTTGACCATTATTTGACCCAGCTACAAGAGGAGGAACTTCCAAATCTAGATTTAATGCAAATCTTTTATATTTTTTTTTTAATACTTGTGTAGATTTTCATCTATTCTAAATGCATAATTTGATGGGAACAGTGAAGTTTGGAAAAATTGGAGTCCCTCTGATTGATTGATAGCTGCTAGTAGACAACATGCAGTTTCTAATTGTCAAATAGCTTGTGTGGGACCACTGTGAGAATTCTGCTTTGAGGGAAAACTGATATTATGGATATTTCATATTGTAGTTAGTATTTATGCTGTATATATATTTTCATCTTTCCAAAAAATCTATGCTGAAATGGAAATGATAGATTTATAAGTCTCTCACTTACCAGGAGCAGCTTTGACTTCTCCACTTTCCCCTATATTACAATTGTACTGATTTCTTTTGGAGGTATTTCTTTTATTAGCATAGAAATTATTACTGTTACTTGTTCTAAGTTCTGTATTGTTTACAGTCTCTTGATGCACTTTTCCACAGGTAAACCATGGCAGTGATGCAGAGAAAAAAATCTGCGTCATAGATGAGGTTGGTAAAATGGAACTCTTCAGCCAGGCTTTTATTCAAGCTGTTCGTCAAACGCTCACTGGCTCAGGGACTGTGGTGCTTGGAACTATTCCAATACCTAAGGGAAAGCCACTGGATCTTGTTGAAGAAATAAGAAGTAGAAAAGATATTAAAGTGTTCAATGTGAGTAATATTTAATATTCTTAAAGAGCCTTCTGTTCTAGGTTGCTGGTTTATATTTGGCTCTGCTTAAAAAGCTAATTGTTACTACCAGTTGATAGCTGTGGGTAGCTTGTAGGAAATAAGCTTTTTAGTTTCCATTTTATTCTTAATGGGCAGGTGGTTCACCTTATTAAAAAAGAAAGAAAAATCACATTTGGCACTTACTGTAGCAGCCTTACACAGGTGGCTTTGCTTGGGAGGGGTGCAGACGTAATGATACAGTTGTTTTAAAAGGTTTTCTTGCTGTAGTATTATTGCCATATGAGCATTCATTATTCCTGAGAGTTAAATCTTTCAAAGTACAGTCAGATTTTTGAACTTGCTTTCTTTTTTAGACTAGCTTGCAGAAATGTTACCAGTAATCATATTCAAGGGAAAAAAAAAAAAGGTAATAGTGGAGCTTGCAGAAATCCCTTTTAGAGGACAGACACTTGTAAATGGAGTCAGTGAACCAATTTTGGAATTCATAATGTTATTTTTACAGACATAATTTTCAGAATATTAAGGTCTCTGTGCATTTCTGATCACTTGCAGGGAGGTTCTCAAAAACTTCACCACCACAAAATATAGCCTGTTCCCAGGAATACGTATGTGAGGTTTCCTTAACGTCTGCAAGTGTCTTGAATTCTTCACAAAAAAAAAAGCAAAATGCATCCCCCACTCACTCGGTTTCTTTTTCTACTCAGTGTATACTATTTGTAGGAGAGAATAAGGCTATATATCCAAAACTGAACTATAAATTATAAATTCAGGACGTGGGACTTACACATCTTGCCTTAGTAGCAGGGTTAATATGCTGTAGAGCAGTATACTGATGCAGCGTGTTCTTTATCAGATGCCTGTCACAGTGAGAATGCTTACTTTGTTTTCATCTAAGTGGATCAGGAAGGAAAATACACTATCTCAACAATTTATATTGAATGATCTTAATTACTGCAGAGAAAGCAAAGCCTCCATCTTCTTTTCTCCTCTTCAGAGTGAGACTAATAAAACTGTAGGGCTCAGAAAAGTTCCTCAGCTTTTTTTTAGTTGGTGGTCCCATTATCATCTTCAGTTTCTGTTTTTTAAACTAAATGCTTGTTAAGTGCTAAAGCAATCCTAGGAGCAAAGACAAGAGAAGATTCCTTTCCTCACGTAAGCATTCAACTCCTACTATTCCTTTCAGAGATAAATCTCCAGGTTTCCTACTGACAAGCTGATGCATGTTGTCAGGCTACTGAACAGGGATGCATGTGAATGTGAATTTTATATGACTTGCTTTACAGTGGTAGGATTGGGGAAGAGGGAATGGAGAATGCCTCACTGAAAGTAACAGATGTTCGGTATTTACGCTGCAGTCATGACAAGACAATAGTGTGCTAGTGCGTGATGAGAAAATAGGCTGCTAGAAAATAGCATTTGGCTCTTCAGGGAAGCTTTTGAGGCTTTCACTGTCTCCATTTATAGGTGATGTTCTGAGGGCGTATGCTACTCAGCCCCAAGTTGTTAGCTGTATCAGGCTGCTGATACACCTTTCTTTTGAATACTGACTACAGCCAGCAAAAGTCTTCCTGTAAATTTCAGCAGAGGAGTGTTTTCTTTACTGCAGAAATGAGCCATCCTGTTCATGCTGCTGAGATTAGGAGGTACAGGTTTCTCTGTTTAAGTAGAGTTCTCTGGTGAATCCATTAGCCAAAAGCATGGATGTGAAACGTGTGGTAGACTGCAATAGTTTCCAGGTGGCAGAGATCTGCTATGCTGAAGTCTTGTGCAGGAGAGCATCTGTCTCACTTGCTCCAGTGGCACAACATGTTCTTTCTCAGCTGATTAAAACGTATCCCTGAGTAGGAACAGAACCTGCCCGTGGGGAATCAGAGGTGTTACTAGCTGAAGTACATACTGCATCTCCAGCTGTGTTCTTCAAGGGCTGTGGCTTGGGGAGAACCTGGAGTGTCCAAATAGCTCATGGTCAGTAATTTCTTTCTAACTTTTATGGTGCCTGGAAGTGTGCAGAAGTAGGTGGCCACCTTCCAAAAAAGTTATGCCTGCTTTGTTGCTTCGTGTGGAGTTAGGCTGCAGTCAACTAACTCAGTAAGAGTTTTGTCATCTTTCTCTTAGTGTCATGAGGAGAGTTCTGATGTTTGACGCTAAGAGCAGAGAGACAGCTGTTTGGGGTTTCACAGTCCCTTTTGTTTTGAAAGTGTATTCAGATGGTGTAGATGGGCCCAGATGCCCTAAAAGCAGTTGACGATTTGGTCCCAAATGTTTAATTTATTATGCTCAGAGCACTTAACAAGAGGAGCTCTGATATGTAACACATTTCTTTCCATTGTTGCCCAATTCCATTTTGCTGAGATCTAAACTTTCCAGTGAAACTATAGAGGCTCTTTTAGCACTGCTCAGGTCTGTGTAGTTTTGCAGACGGTATCATAAATAGGATCAGATTATCTTTAGCAGCTGGCACATACTCATTTTCCCATTTTCCCACCTATTAATTTTGCTTCTATGAAATCCATTAGCGAAGTTTGGTTGCATATGCCTTTTAAGAAAGAAAATAAATAGCTAAATGGAGCAGAAGAAGAAAAAGATTCCATTTGAATAGACTGCACAAGAGCGGTT